GATAGCGATGATTATTTCAATATTATAACATATATACCGGCTTTCAATTTAGTACCTTAATTCTACCTTTTCATCGCAATTAGTATTTTCATTTTCTTCAATTGAAATGAAATTAATAATTATAATTATCCGAATATTTCTTCACCACAGCTTCTTTGTTTCCTATTATAATTTTAAGTTTTTTAAGGTAAGTCTAAGATCGGACGCACCTAAGCCTTTGTACATAAAAACAACTACTAGACTACTGTGCATAGAAACTCTTTTTTAAAGTATCCGACTAGTTTTCGAGAGCTTTTTTAAAAATATTAACATAAAATTTCAAAAAACTAGTTTATTTGTTTTATTATGCGAAAAAACATATAAAACTAGCAAAAAATATATTATTATCATTCTTTCTTTTTTTTTAATAAATGGCCATTTTTAGGTAAAAATAAGGTTTTCTTTCTTTTGCATATACGCTAAAAAAAATTTAATTATACTTCTTTCTCTTAGTTCAAGACATGCGTGCTATAATCATAAGCACTCATGAGAAATTGTAGACAACTATTTCGAAAACAACTTGAGAGATATCGTGTCTAAGATGCTGTAAAATGTGAACAAAAATCTGATTTTGAGATAAACGCATTTAAAAACTTAAAATCACTAGTCTATCCTGTGATATAACCTAGCACAAAAACTTTTATAACTTTGTAAATAAATAGAGTAAAAACAAAGGTAAATTATTTCCAGAAAGCTTAAATTATCGGAATTCTAAATTCATAATAAACACAATTTCAAACACTTTGCCCAAAACCATACTTTTGCACTACTTAGATAATTTAAAAAATAAAAAAAAAAACATTCTGCAGCAGCTATTTGTAAGTTGTGCTAAACATAAACGTTAAGAGCATTTTTTATAGAAAATCTGAATGGTACAGTTTATATAAATCATAACATTATAGAGATACCTGAAATGTGAAATAAACCTTTATCATAAATAAATCTGATTTGTTTAATTTATCACCGATATAAACATCTGCCGCCAACCATTATTAGAGTGTGTGAAACAGATGGTAAGAATGAAATTGAACTGATAGTGTGTGTACTTCTGTGCAGTGTCGAATGTGTTGTGTTTCACGGTATGCGGGTTCGAACTATACAGCAGGTGGGGGGCAGACACCATGATTAGTGATCATGACAGAATTGTCCATCCCCCCCCCTTCCCTTTCTTTTTGTGAATGTTTGAAAATCATTATCATCCTATGTATCGAGCAGCATGACGGTGGCAATATTTATTTAATTAAGGATGAAACGAAATTCCGATTTAGACACTCTCCCGTCGAACACAGACGAACATTTTTGTAATTAACTCGTAAATTGCACATTACGTAACTTATCTGCAACGCTGTCTTTCGAAGCTCTGTCGCCAAGGAAAATTAAAAAAAAGTCACAGTTTAAGTGTCTTACACTTGAAGCAATGCGATAATTTTAACGCGATTGCGATGATCTTCCTGTGAAGAATTATCTAAGCTTTAGAGCAGACAAATAACTTAAACATTTTAAAAGTTATTGAATTATTTTAAAAGTCTCCAATTTGGCGATATTTTTCCACTAGATGAAAATTATCAAAATCCTTGCCTTCTTCTCAGTTTTAGCGAATTTTTATGAGCCCAAGCAATGCAGCATTGGAGTAAATTTTTAAATATTAAGAAATTAGACCACAAACGCTTTTCATTTTTACAAAACTGTGGTTTTTCTCCATATTGACGTTTTGCGCCATTTTCAAAACAAGCGTAGATAGATCAGACTTCAGAAAAGATAAACTTGACCTAACAGTTCACAGCAGTTCTAAAAATGGCATTACTATTCGCAAAAAAGCATCATTTAATATCACAGCCTTAAAGTTAAGAATCCCAAATTTAATAAATAAATTATTTTAAAGTTTTTATTTTGGAAATGGAACAAAATTCAAATCTCGTGTCGATTCAAAATTTAAATCGGACATATTTTAATATTATATTATCATACCTTTATTATCATAATATTATATTATCATACTTTTATTATCATAATATTATATTATCATACTTTTTTAATAGAAGAAATCATAAAAAATCTATCAATTTGATTCACAAGATTAAAGCAATTTAAGCATTTCAAATAAAGGCATTTCATTTTATGTTTCAATAATACATCACTTAAATCTACAACTCATTTAAAAAACGAGGCCAATAAAAATGATCATGATAAAGGCCTCTCAAGAGTTACATCTTAACACTATAAATTTTTTAAGAAATTATTATAAATTACTATTATTTTATAAAATAACATTATTCCGCACTATATAGTTTACTGCTGACTTAGCATTTTCAGGATTGCTGAAGTCACGCAGAAAAAATTATTTTTTGGCAATTTTTTTTTTTACCGAAAATGCTCGACTTTGCGCATGTCGTGAGGTTACCAAAGCAAGGGAGCCATGTGATGGCACGTCTTCAGATCATCCTCGTCCCACAGTGGACTGATCGTTAAGACACGGTTCCCTGCAGATCACCGAAGTCAAGCATCACTGACTACGGTCAGTGTGCGGGTGGGTGACCACTTGGATCAGTCTGCGTAGGGACCGAGGGTGTGCGGTATTGGTCCTCGTTAAACTGTGCTACCGTAAAGTGCTCGACTTCGCGTGCAGGTCGTCGGGCTACCGAAGTGGGGGTGCCATCCTCTCCGCAGAGGATCAAAATTGTGATGGCATGTCTTCGGATCATCCTCCGGGATGTTTCCCAGACCGTCGCCAATAGCCCAATGTGCAGCTGTAGTGCGACGTAAATTAACAACAACAACAACAATCAGATCATCCTCAGGGATGTTTCCCAACCGTCACCAATAGCCCATTGTGCAGAAAGAATGATGGCTTCAAAGGTTTAATCAAATTGTTTCAAATATACTAAAAACTCTTTTCAATTTTAAAAACACCAATCACAATTTTACGAAAGACAGCAAGAGCATACATCGAGTGCTAAAGCACGATTCGAACCCATTACCGCTACTGAGAGAATAATGGAATAGCAATACTTCACGGTATTGTTGGCGTCGACATTACTACAGGGTGATTGTTCTTCTGGCAAACGCTCAGATGAGTAAAGGTAATGGGTTCAATATCTTTTGTGCTGTTTTTTTCTCATTTTTATGTTATCTGTTCTACATTGTGACAAGAGGTGAGCAATTATTTGGATTAAGAATATGATCCTGTATATGTATTTGAACCGAATTTATTTATTTTTTGTTGCACATTCATGCTTACGCTTTGAGTCGAACCCGCTACCTGCATTTTATATAGCATTTGGCGGTAAGACAAGACTGGTGTTAAAATAATTTTAAAAAATCATTCCTATTCCAAAAATTTAGTATTTTTTTACTGTCACACATATGCAGGCTTGTTTGCTCATTATTTATTTTTATTACGATTTATTATAAATCCTTGTCAAGTTGAATAACAGAGCTCACAAGGTTGAGATAAACATTGTTATTGTGCGATTCGAACCCCCTACCTCTTTGTTACAGAGCGTTGCAGTTCATTAACGTCCCACTAGAGCTGCACAACGGGCTATTGGCAACGGTCTGGGAATACTGAGGATGATCCGAAGACGCGCCATCACAATTTTGATCCTCTGCAGAAGGGATGACACCGCCGCTTCGGTAGCCCGGCGACCGAAAAATTAAGCAAAAGCATCGCATTGGGAAATAAATATCAAATTCCATTTGTAGTCGCAGAAATTTAACCATATTCGTTAATTAAAAGAATACAGCTAGCTTTTCATTCATCGCTAAAATTTGAAACTTTTTTAAATCAAAAATTTAAAGTAACCTTAGACCTTTGTACATTAGCTAACGTATATTTTTCATAATTTTAAATGTTGTTAAATGTTAATTTACAGATTACATAGGAAGCTAGCCTTAACCGATGTCCCGCCCCCGTAGGGGTCATCCAGTTATTACTTGGTGACTATCGGCAGTGTAATCCTCGAACCAACGGTGCATGGACACCCGAGGGTCCATGTCTCCGACTCACGCACGACAAAAAAGCAACGCAACTCGTGGACAGAGGATGCCGAATGGGAAAACCCAAGTCGGTGCGGCGGTGCCAACGCAGCTGCAGACAACTCACTAAGCTTACATAGGAAAACAATCCGACGAAAAACAAAGTTATCAAGTGTTTACTGCAGTGGTAAAATTACTGACTTTTGTTTTAAGTAACCTAATTTTGCCACATTCGCTACTAAACAGCTTGGTAGTGAAAATCATATTTTATTGTAAATTTGGCCGAAAAGTCCATCAAAGCGCTTCGGTAAAAAATGACCTTGGTTTTTGGTGTTCCCATAGAGAAAGAAACACGGTAAATTTTGACCATATTTTTTTCTCTGTGCATATACGGACGGAGAAAGAAATTCTGCTAAAATATTACTGTATGCTGAAATTTCTGGTAAAAAAAAAAAAAAAAAAAAAANAAAAAAAAAAAAAAAAAAAAAAAAAAAAAAAAAAAAAAAAAAAAAAAAAAAAAAACACTTCTGGTTAATAAAACTAAAACATGCAGTATTTAAACCATTAATTTAGTAATTTTTCCTTTCATAGGGTAACGGTTAGCTGGGAATTCAGGTTTTCAAAATTATAGGTTTTTGAATCACATTTAGTAAAAAATGCAATTAAATGGTATATTTAATGGAATAAATGGTTTTGATGCCTCTTAGGTATCCTGATAAATTTTTTAAATTTCATAATTTATAATAGAACCAATTTTTCCGTTAAATTATCTAAAATCATTACCAAAGCGTTTCGGTAAAAATTACCGAGTCTTCTGGTGTTCTGATAGTCAGAAGCATTATTTTATAATGCTTTGATAGCTGTGGCGATAGTTTTTTCTCAGTGTAAGTTATGAAAATATAGCTCTTTTGCCACAAAAGACGCTTAAAATGAAAATAGTTTGAATAACAAATAAATAAATAACACCAACAAAAAAATAGCTCGAAAACACTGCAAACATTTTTATTTCAGAATTAAAGTCTATAAAATGCTTTGCATGGTTATGCAGTTAAAAAAAGCAATAAAAAAATCTTTCGCAGAAAAGGTACACTTATTTGTAAATGGATGCAAAAAAAACAAAAAAAAACATGGTTTATATATCTTCATTCATGTAATGCCATGTGTGATTAACGTAACTAAGCCAGGCAGATCCTTTTGTATTGGCATAAGCAAAAGCTCCAAGACATCTTGCCATAACTGTTCCTTTCGGTCCAAAGGTGTGAATAAACAAGTTGATGATAGTTATGATTGCAACCAATCCCATTGTTGTATGGTTAAGAACGTTGGAATAAACTTCTTTTTCTTTACTTATCTGACAGCCCATCAGAAACAGTGTTAGACCGACTAGCAACTGAAATATTAATTTCATAATACATTTCTAATAGACATATGCAGTGATTTGTCAATGCAATTCATTGTTTTAAACGCAAACCAATAGAGTCAATTCAGAAGGAGGGAAAATAAAGCAATATTAAAAGAGTAGTCTTATAAATTCGAGAAAAAATTTTCAGGAATAACTCAAATATACCGGTTTAAAATTATATGTGTTTTCCCTTCAATAAATCGAAAAAAAATTAGAAAATAATGCATTTATAATTTTTTTCGACTTCAAGATATAAAATTTTCAGTAAGTTATCTTTTTTTAAAATTAGTAATGTAAAACTGTGTGAGAGGAGCAACATTGTAAAAAATTACGGTGAAAAGTAATAGCCCCCTGAATGCCGCATCCGTATAATATTTTACCGTAAAATTTTACGGAACTCAGGATGCAAGTACTTTTTACCGCGATTTGTTCAAGATTTTTTTTCACTGTAGGCCTAAAAAGTAAAAATGGACAAGTAAGACTATACCGTGCATAAGATTTGACACGAAAAAAAAAAAAAGCTTTCAACGAACATTTTTTTTAAAAAAAAATTTCTTTTATTTTATAACCGTCGTTGAACAGCCGATCCAATTTTTTGGTTTAAGAGTACTAATGTTCAACTCTGTAGCCTTGTCATTTTGAACCCAATCCAGAAGACAAGAGAACTCCTGGATCAAGTATTGGGAGATATTAGCCTTCGTGGAGGACTTTATGCTAACCCGCATTTGCATGGTGTGGAAAACCACGAAAACTTCCATGATTAGCCTGACAGCAAGGGGACTCTGACCCGTGCTACGTTTACCACTGAGGATATTTTGCGTCAGGACTGTGGTCGGTGTGAGCCGGGTGCGGAATTCGTATCGACCAGCTATCTCTTGGATTGGATCTCGGTTCACCTACCTCTTCGGAAGTTCACCTACCTCATCGGAAGGTGAACCGGGATCCAATCCCAGAGATGGCTGGTCGATACGAATTCCGCACCCGGCTCACACCGACCACAGTCCTGACGCAAAATATCCTCAGTGGTAAACGTAACATGGGTCAGAGTCCCCGCTCTATTTCCTGATCCACCATGTCCAATTTTTTGTAGAAATTTCTTTATTTATACTTTACTTTCTTCGAATCTTATTTGTCAATAAAATGATGCCACTAGTTCCAAACCACTACCACCGTAATTATACTTGATTAATTATATCACAGTAATTACATTAGCTGCATAAGAATATATATATTTTTCAAAATATTAATCACTTATACTCCTATACAATTAAAATACTTTCTTTTTTTTTAATAATTTTTTGTTGTTATTCTACATTATATGAAATTAACCTCATTTTAAAAATTCAATTATTCTAGAATGTAATTTCATTTATTAAATTAATAATTCAGCACTTACACTCCCTCTATATCAGTGGTTAGCAACTGGCGGTGAAGCCTTTTTTGGTGGCCAGTGAACTAAAATATATTGTTGTTGTTTTTTTGCGGACAATTTTCGTAAAAAATTTGTATGGGTTTAAAATACTTTTCATTCGTTTAAAGAAATCTAATTTCTTCGTTTCTGTGAAATTTAACATACCAACGGTGCAAAAAAATTTATTTCTCCGGTTCTGCATCCAAGAAAATATTTATTCAAATACAAAAATAATCGTGTATGTTGCTCTTTTTCATTTCGTTATTTTTTATTTATTTATTTATTTTGTGAATATAATTTAGCATGTGCATAGCAGAAATTTTCTCGAAGAAATTCTCCCATTTAACTTTTTGAAAACACTCATTTCGGACGAAATTATTTACATTTGTAAATTTTAAAACGCATACAAGAGGGAATGAATATCATGTTTTATCTAAATTCCTTGAATTGCTATAATTCCTAATAAGTCGAAAAAAGTGGTAATTTATCACAGAGTTAAATTTAAAAGAAAAAAAAAAATCTTGTCACTAAGTTTCTGACTAAGATAAGATTCAAAAGGATACGTAACAAGCATTATTTGTTATAGTACTTGTTACGTTGCTTTTTAATATTAAAAAAAAAATTGGTAAAAATCTGACAGTAATATTTAATGTTCCTTCGAACATAAAAGAGTCCTATATAAAATTTTTATAAAGTTGCTGCCCGCCATTTAAATTTTGTTTTTAATTGCGGCCCCCGCCTCATGTAAGTTGGAAACCCCTGTTCTATATAATTTAAATATAGTTTCTACGTATTTTAATAACTTTTAGTTGATACTCTATATTATATGAAATTTGCCTCATTTTGTAATTCTTATTATTCTGAAATGCAATTCCAATTATTAGGGAATTTTAATGAAGAAAGATATAATTCTATTTGATTCAGCTAAATAAAATAAATATTTTATACAACTAGTTATGAAGACCAGATAAAAAATCTTCTGTATTCTGTAACTAGTTTTTTTTTATTAAATGAGATTTTTAGAGAGTTTAAAATACTAAAATAAAACAATTGTAATTCTGAAAAAAAATTATAGGTTTCATGTTACATATACATCTACAATTCCCTTTCAACTAATTTCTTTAAAATACTACTAAATGTTTTATTATTTATATTTTTGTGCTAATTGAAAATATCTACTAATGCTAACGTTATAAAGTATCTTTGAAAAAAAGATATATTTCAAGGGAACGTCACAATGTTCAAACATAGATGGCAGCACCACAGATTTGCTTAACGCAAAAAGTATCATGTTTCCTACTTTTCTCGATAGATGGCACTACCAGATACAACGCCCATTCATTAGAGTAAACGAAACTCCTGTCATAACCTAACTCTAATGTTCAATTAAATTTCGTGTGTATGGTTTTGTAACAATGCTAGTCATAAAAGATGCATAACAGTATAGTTCTGAACTCATGTTTTCTTTTTTTTTAACCTCACCAATTATAAACTGTTTCAAAATCGTAAAATTAAAAATGTTACTAACCGTAAACTTTATGGTAAATTAAACGGACAGACTGCTGCCGCTTATTTTACCTTAGTTTTTGGATGAAAATTCTGACATGAGAAATTACGCATTGTTTGTTCTGTTAATTCAATAAGTTTTGTTTGAATTGATTCAGAATACCACAATACATCTAACTAATTCAAACAAATACATAAAAGAACTGGTAGTCTCGGTTAGTGATCGGAAAAACTACATTATTTTTGTAGTTTACTACAACTACTTGGATACAAATGTAGTTACCTGTAACTTCTTTTAAATGTAGTGACTAAAAATTACTTTAGATTTGCAGTTACTACTTTAAGGAGACGAGCTTACAATAAATAAAATGTAACTGAATAATTAAGAAATATTTATTCGTGTTTATATGAGCCAGTTTGTTATTCTAAAACAGTGGTTACCAACTGGCTGCCCGCGAGCCACATCCGGCCTGCCAAGCCTTTTTTCGTGGCCCGCGTGCTAAAATATATCAGTTGTCATTTTTTGCGGACAATTTTCGTAAAAAACCTATATGGGTTTAAAATACTTTTCCTTGTTAAACTTTAAACTTAAAGTACTTTTCCTTGTTAAACTTTAAACTTAAAGTACTTTTCCTTGTTAAACGAAAAAACTTTATTTTTTCGTTTCTGTGAAATTTAACATGCCAACGGTGCAAAAAATTTATTTCGCAGGTAAAAATCCACTTCCAATTTTAATTTGTAATTCAATACTTTTGTTTTGTACAACTTGATAAAAATCTGACAGTCATATTTAATGTTCCTTCAAACATAAAAAAGTTCTTGTTGTTGTTGTTGTTACTTTACGTCGCACTAGAGCTGCACAATGGGCTATTGGCGACGGTCTGGGAAACATCCCGGAGTATGATCCGAAGACATGCCATCACAATTTTGATCCTCTGCGGAAGGGATGTCACCCCCGCTTCGGTAGCCCGACGACCTGTAAAAAAGTTCTATAAAACATTCTTTTCGAATTTGTTCATCAATTTTTTATGCCTTTCCGGACAGTGAAAAAATGCGAAAATTATCGAAACTTTTTAATTGTTTAATGATCTTCTTTTATTTCCTCTAAGAAACTATGCGCAGTCCTCAAAAAAGTAGACGGATGACCCTGAATAACTTTTGATTTAATCATCGGATTTTCATGTTCATGTAAATTAATAAGTGCAGGCGATATTTTAAGTTAGGAAATCAGACGCATAAACGTTCCTTCTCCGAATAAACATACCTTTTTTTCGACGTATTCAGATTTCTAACACCCAAAATATAGGGGGTAGCCGCAATCTGGGAAATTGGGTTCCAAGAGTTTTGTCAGGAGAACTCTCTAAAGTTTCGAACCCTAAATGTTAATTTTACTTTTTGCGTAATTCGCTATATCTCGAGAATTTTTTAAGCCAAATGAAAATTTTTTGCACACAATTATAAAATTCGTTTATCCAAAGATAATTCCATGCAAAAAAAAAAAATTTAGAAAATATTTATTATATTTTATTATTATATTTAAGAATGGTCGAAAAAAGTTTGAATTCCAAAGTATGCAATTCTTTGAATCATTTTATAGAGTGTACCTTTAAACGACAAGATATAAAATGTGAGCTTAATCGGTAGAATAGTTTCTGAGAAATGGAATTTTAAGTGTCAGACTTTTTGAAAATCAATTCGAATCGCTGTGGGGAACTTGGAGGTTAAGAAAAATCATTTTGCACCACATCTCTGTCTTATTCGGCAATAAAAAAATTAAAAAAAAATTTTGTAAATAGTCTCGATTTCCTCTTTTTTGCCCCCTGCAATAAGTGTAATTGCAACTTCCAATGTGCATTTTTTTTTCTGAATTCACTTTTGACTTTGATTCTAAAAATATATATATCAAAGGTGATGATTACTGTGAATAATTATGAAACAAAATTAAACAAAAACTAAACAAACAAATGAACCATATATGAAACAAAAATCTGAATTATAAGTCGGAAATCAAACTCACTTGTAATACAAGCGACGCAATAATGAGTCCCAGGACTTCATTATAATAGATGTGTAAGTTTCCCAATTCCAAGACAAACTTTAGCTGCTCGCAATTGGCTGAAAACAATGCAATATCTAAGAATCCTCCAGCAATACTGATCCTTCTTGTTATTAAGGGATTAGGAACTACTTCTTTTTTCTATAAATAGACAAAGAGTAAATCATTTAAAGTTTATTCAAAAGTAGAACAAACTAAACTAGTTTTATGTGTTTTTCACAAAAAGAAGATAGATGATCTTAATTTAACGAGTTCGTTATATAAGAGAACGTTTTAATAAAATTTAATGTCATTGATACTACAAAGCATTTAGTAACTACGCATTTATCCGTAAAATAAAGGTTTCGCATTATTTGTAAATAAAGGTTATTTTTCAGATTTGTATTGAAGATCCCTTTAAATTTTTGAAAAACCAAGTTTTAAACATTGCTATTTTTCCAATTTAGGAACGACAGTTCTCGAGATAAAAAGAAAAAAAGAATTAAGCATTTGAAAATGTACCTCAATTATTCATTTTTATTGTTACAACAAAAAAAAAACATGCGTATACGTGTGTATGGTATTTTGCGTAATATATTGCGAACCGAAAAATATTTGATGCGTATCAGTTATTTAATCAACGCAAATAGACCCATTTCTTAAAATTTTATTTCAAGATATAAAAAGAGAAAATTCAGTCAACACAAAGCATGCTGTATTTAAGTCCTTTAAATTAATATAATATGAGGTAGTTTCAGTCTTCAATAGTTTGACTTAATTTTTCTATTGAGTTATTTTTCGTCCTATTCTTCAATTAGAAAAAACATAATTTAACTATTGCATTAAATTCGTTTAGGAATTACAGTAAATTTATTAACACACATAACAATGATTTAAATTAATAAATTTGAAAGCAATTTCCAGGATGATTCAAGGGTGACATATAGGTATTCTGGTGAGCTGAAGTTTAAAAAATGAATAATTAAAACTGATCGACGCAATAAATAGAATGTGTGGTCACAAAACANTGATGAAAAATAAGAAAGATGTCATTACGTTCGGGGTACTAAGCTGCGCAGTGGTTGAAAATACGAAATAAGTCACTACGTTTGGACTACTAAAGGATATTTATGGTAACCCGTGCAGTGGCCTACTCTTTTCTAGGAGGTGTTGAGTGAACTAGCCCTTCTATTCTCTTTAGCCCTGGGGAAAAAGCTGTTTATAAAGAGAGGATGAACACCCTTTAGAAAACTTTCAAAAACACTTGGAAGGTTGGATTTGGCGCTTTTTCTTTCTATATATAAAAACTGCAGTTCACACACGCAAAATTTCCTTCTTGATTGCTGTCTTTTTTTAAATTAGATTTTAATGAAATTCTTGTATCTTATAAAATATGCTGTTTACAAATGTTTATAATTTTAATAATTTTGTTTTAATTACCGGCATTTTTTTAATTATATGGTATATTGTTTACATAATTACAATAATTAAACCTTATAAAAATAATCTTTCTTCATGGAGAAAAAAAAATTTAAAATAGTTTTTTTTTTCTTTTTTAGATTTCAAGATTATTTTCACGAGTAAATGAAATCGGGAGAAAAACAGGAATTAAATATTAATGGAATTAGCGTATTAAAAGTATACTAAATGTATTGTAATGGAATTGTGCCAGAATAATAATTATAATAAAGCAAAGATAACCTTTTTTTCATCGGTGCTCGATGGTAGAAATGGTGTTTGAAGTGAACAAACTAAACATACATCGTCGTTTTTCGTTTTTTCTTCTGCGGTCTTCTTTTCAAAATTCTCCAAATGAATATCATTTTGATTACAGCTGTTACGATTCATACCTTTTGATAACACCTGAAATAATCATCGAAATAATTAAATAATTAATATTTGTTTGTAGAATTATATTTAAGTTCAAAATGAAGATAAAACAATGGAAAATAGCAGACATATGAAAAAAGGGGGAAAAGAAAAATAATAATTATAAGAATAAAAATAACAAAAAGCTGGAAAAAGTAATTTTTTTTTAAAAAAAAGGTATAAATTTTTTTTAAAAATCCGGAAAATAAAAGATATAATCTATTCATCAGCCCACACGATTATATCCACAAAAAGAGTGCTTTCTATTATTGTATCAATTTAGCCAAAGCAAAATATATCAATACAATAGTATGAGGAGCACTTATTTTTATTACAATGAAACTTATTTTTGTTAATTTTCTTCGTGTTTTTTTTTGTTTTTGGATTTATTTTGCTTTATATATATNATAATGGCTAACAATTTGGTTGCCTCTCAGATATTAATTTAATATTTTAAGATAGAGTTTCCCCGTCGAGAGTGTTATGGACCGGAGATGGACCTTTGATATTTCAACAATTATTCTCGGGAAAAAACTGCGCTTTTTTGCCGGTCCCGATGTTAAATACATGATATTGGAAGGAAATTGATTGCAGGTTTTTAACTTGCGCAATTGAGAGTCATCAAAAAGGGGACATTAAAAAATATTGCTTTCTCTGAGATATTGCGTTATATCGTCCCTATGAAACATATTGCACTTTAGCTCTAAAAATAATCTTTTGATTTAAATATTGGATATTTAGCACTCTGTGTAAAAAATAAAGATCATCTGCAGTTTAAATTTTGCCTCCTTGTGAGTCGGATGACGATGAGCAATGCAGGTGTGCTATCATCTATGACTGTTTGAGAGATTTTCTGGTTCCTATAGTCCAGGTTTACCAATTGATTACTGTATAAGGTAGAAACTCCTCATTTACATAAGAAGTGGAGGAAATGTAGGATGTTTGCGGTGAAAACAGCCGTTGATGAGCATGATAGCTTTGCCTTCTCAGCTAATGTATATGTTACGGCCAAAGCCCGAAGTCCGGGCAGATCGCGAATCGGCCGACTTCGGGCTTTGGCCGTAACATATATATGTATATCTTGTATATATCCACTAGGGCAAATTTCTCCCAATATTTGTTCCTGGAGCTCCTTTGTTTTCTGGATTGGGTTCAAAATGACAAGGTTACGGAATTGAACATTAGTTGTCCCAGAATCAGGTTGGCTGTTCGGCGACGGTTATGAAATAAAATAAATAAACTGGTGTTCAACTGCAGTTCGAGAATCTGGGATTTCTGGTGTAATGAAACAATCTTTTACATTACTTAATACAAAGTAGCCATTTTAGATGTTCTAAAAATTATGATTGCAGCAACACATAAGAGTCATTATGATGCAAAGAAGAGTCTTAAGATGCTTACGTACATAATAATTCACAAAATAAAATTAGTTTGTAAATCGAAGGTATGCATAGCACAGACAAAATATTAAAATGAAGCAGACTTAGAAGCGAATTATACATTATAAACGTATTTAATACAGTAAACAGAGATATCAAAGTATAAATAAGGTCATTATTACACAACTAAATTTTAAAAAATGCATATTTTTAACGATGAACTTTTGTTTCTGTAGTTGAATAATATCATGGATGGCAACAACAAACTGAAGCAAACTTATTCATTTGTAAACAATCAACTGACGATATCTAAAGGGCACCAACACTGACGTTCTAGGAAGCGAAATTAATTCCTTTTGTGGTGTGAATAAACGTGAGCTTGTTGTAAGATGTTTTCATTATAACTGTTGAGATTTATTTATGAATTTTATATGAAAGCTCGATTAGGTGTCAACTTGAAACAAAGTGTTCCTACACACAATTTTCTGAGTTGTTGTTGTTGTTGTCGTTGGCCATTGAGACAGAGGGTGTGTAATTGTTCCAGTTTTCCAATGGCGCAATCTATGGTCAAGAATTCGACTCCTGCCACACCCATACGTCACGCTTGTTTATAGGGGTGACCCATTCATGCATCTATTCCTTCATCCACAGATCGTAATTCTGACCGATCAATCTCCAAATCAGTACCCCAGAGGTATTGATTTGTAAAAAGAACTTGGGGGACTTTGTGACCAGACGTGCACCAGTCACCATTTACTACACGGGGAGTTTTCGGCCGGCAGGGATCGAGCTCACGACCTCTTGGACATGGGCCCAACTTCTGGGTTGATCAACAACAAATTTAGAAAGTTTAACACCACTGTTTATCGAGTGCATGATCAGCTATTAGAATATGAGCAGCCGACTTTACAACACATCCTTAAACAACTTGCGACATCTTATAATGAAATTCGCCCGCACACCTTTTGTCAATAAAAAATGTATTTCGTGTGTTTAATTATGCAAATTACGTTTTCCCGTTTCCTGTAGCATCTTCAACATTCGATTAAGAGAAAAGATACAAAGGAGAGAAGAAAAGAAAGTACTTGTCAGGTTTAAAAAGAAATATTCATTTAATTAAAACTGCAAAATATTTCGTATTTAGAAGCTTTTGATTAAATGTTAATTCCACTTTGAAGAGGAGCCGAAAATCAACTTGCAAAAAAAAAAAGAAAATAATTGAATATGGTATATAAAATTTTTTATTCTATATTCAAAAAATTAAAGATAAATTTTTGTTTTTAAAACTTTCCGTTTTATTTCAATAGCGTGACCTTTTCTTTTTTTTTCTTTCTTTTTTATCAATTTCTTGCTTTGCCTACAAATTTCTAGCAAAACAGGTGCTTAACTCATATAGTTACACTTAAACTTTTTTCGTGATTGGTAAAGAAATATTTAATCATATAACTTAAATCTTACATTAAATTAAATTAAATTATTTAAATTAACCAAATTAAATAATATATACTTTATTTTTAAAGCTTTCTGTTTCATTATAAAGATTTCCAGAATAGCAATTGCTTAGATATTAATTGATAATAAATATACTAAAATATATAAATGTATATCTGATGTTTGAGTAAACATCATAAACTTGTCGAAATCTCAGAAGTTTGTATTTTTGGACGATGTGCAAATTTGTTTTTCCTGGTTGTTTCATTTTCTTATTCGATTGTTTCTCTGTCAACTACAGATGAGGATAATGGACACTCTATACTGACGTCACTGTGGTTACTTGAGTCAGCTTTTTGACGTCACAATCTAATAAATGCACTTGTGTTACGAGTAAATATTGAAAAGTACATGAATTTCGCTTTAACCTTCATATTTAATTGATTTTTTTTAAATATATATGAATGAATTAATTAAAGAATCTGAAGTTATTTATACGTAAGTTTATTTTAGAAGAAGCCCTGAAGTAGAAGTATCGGAATCAGTTTCCTTATTAAGTGTTCTGTGGAAAAATTTTGCTCGGATTGAATTTTATTCTAATAAATAATATACGAAAATGCTTAATGAGGAAATTTCTTAACCCGGTTTAAATTTTATTCGAATTAATAATTATAAAATTGAAAATTGTAGAAAATTTTTTCTAAAAAAATTATAAATTTTATTCTAATAATTAATTGACACGGTTTCAAAAGATACCTTTGGAAGGAATCGCTATTGATGATTATTTATAATCCCCTTTTTGGAACTTCTACCCTTTTAGGAACTTCTACCCATTTTAAAATAAAAATAATAATAGAGCGATTCATTACTGAAATTCATGAAACTACTGCTGCGGAAGCCGCAGTGGTTTCATGAGGAAGTCACAACATCTGCAAATTGCTTTTGTGCTTTAAAATGAAAAAAAAAGAATTTATTTCAATATTATCAAATGCATATTTATACTTTTTATAAATATGTTTTTTTCCCTTGATTTCCTTAATTTTGCACAATTTATACATTCTTCTTCTCTTGAAAAGAGCAATATATTTTTAAACACAAACATTTCGTTTAAAATATTTGTGAATTGACATAGCACCACTGAAGTAAAAATACTTGATTACTGGCTAGTCATTTGAAGTCTTTAGAGCAGAACTTGCGACCACGCTATCTGAAAGAGCAATCTTTTATTAAGAAAATCTTAACCAAATAATCACGAAAGTGTTTAAAATAACAATAAAGATATTTTCCGCCCGATTGACTTAACTCTACTCCACATGGCAAATAATGACACTGTTAGAAAAATGATTAAATAGTAATTTGTTTAACTGTTATTTTACAATATTCACACAAAAAAGTCAAATAGCCGTAAATAAAATGGTTTTCAAGCTCTTAACCGTGAGAAAAAAGTTGATTACCTGCTTTCACCTATCACGGTTAAACAATTAGAATTTTATTGCTCCAACTGGGTCCACGTAATGAGTTAGTATCTCTTGGTTTCTTGCAGCCTATTATGACCGGGAGATCTCATGAGAACGAGAGTTCGAGTGACACCACAATATCTTCTCTTGATAAATAACTTTAATGCCTGTTACCTAACGAAAAACCCATCTCCAATGTCCAGTTAAATATCGTTTTCACAGTTCTGAAACCATATTAGTTGCAAACGGTTTTAAAACTGTAAAATTAAAAAATTGTTTTTTTTTTTAACCGTAAACTTTATGGTTAATTGAATGAACAGACAGCTGCCGGTTATTTTACCGTAAATTTAAAATGAAAATTCTAACGGTATTCATCAGTATTACGGCAAATTTATTTACGAAGTAATTTAAAAACTTAAGTTTGAAGAAAGTGAATTCACAGACACATTTAGAGTAAGCCACCACAACTCTGAAGAAGAAAAATCGAAATCCAAACAAATCATGAGACACCTTCAAGACTCTGTTTGTATAAGGATATTTTGAAAATATTTTTTCAACGTATAAAATTCATGACCACTTTTCTCTAAATTTTAATGCACCAATGAAAATTATCGTGTGAGATTTAGAGCAAAAGGGGAAAATCCAAATTGAAAGGGAGAATGATTAAACTTTTCCCCTAAGAGGGAAAACGTACGAGAACTGTTTTATTTTTACTGTAGTATTAGGT